TCAGCGGTAATAAAATATGATTATAGAGACTGGGTGTTGCACAGGAGGATCTAGCGATCCCAGAATCGATTCATGACTGATATAACACAATAAATAAATTATTTGCCATTGCTGGACTCAAACCTTAGCCCGGTTAGGAGACCAGTGCTTTACCCACTCATTAATAAATAAATATAAAATTATTTTATTATAAGCTATATGGAAGATTGCATTACAGCCGATCTGAAGGGACTGGGTTTGGAAGACGAACGGTGGAGGGAGGTGTGTAATAAGCGATTGGTGGTGTCGGCATCGAACCTTCGGGTTCGCTAAGCCTTTTATTATTATTATTATTATTATTTATAAGCTATATTTAAAATACACTCGTTGGCTTTTATAAAATTATCGTAAGGAAAATGTTTTTCGATTACCTCTTCATACAAGCTTGGAGACTATAAGGGAATTCCTGAGGCATATTGTGTTGTTTTTTTAACAGGGACTTAAAATAAAATGGTTCCGTTTTTATGATACAATTGGTACGGACAGTTAGATTTATGTGACCTATCGATAGTTGTCAACCACCTAGAACTCGCTCCAGAAGGCAGAGTTTTGAGGACGAAAAATTTGAATGAAATTTTTCTTTGTTAACGTTTTGAATTTAATTCAGTCAATTAAATAAATTATTGTTATGAGACAATGATGTTTATTTCATATTATATTATCTAAAACAATGAGTTTTTGGGAGGCAGGGCGGCAAAATTCAGCGTGTCCTCCTCCCCTGACAAAAATCTTAAATCCGGCTCCGATCTATCGAAACTTCTCATTGCAACAGACAATCTGCAAATCCTCATAATAGAATAGAATAAAATTATTCTCTATCAAGCCTATTTTTCTTTGGTCTTTAAATAATTGATATTAAAACATTTAGAACATTCCTTAATGAAAAATAAAATCTCTAAAATCATTACAGGCCAACTGATAAGTGAACCCTGAGTATCTACAGATACACTGCAAGAGAACCACCCACATGTGCCCGTTGGCATCGAAACCAACAATAAATTGAGGCAGACGTTGAGAAACTAAATTAATACCAATGACTGGGAACGGAAACGATCCAGCTAGGGCGACGTAATAGGCAATTGAGTTATGAGCAACGATATCCCTTCTTCCAGTATGGTATATTTATTTTAAAAGCAACGGCGAATTCAATATTTCTTAGAGGTCACTAAAACTTGAAAAGAAACGTATTGGCTTCATTAAGTAGATGCTATTTAAATATTTTTCTTACTTTTAGAAAGTTTCTATAATAAAAACAAATAAACAACAGATTCTGTATTCTCACTAAAAGTCTTTCCAACGTTTTGGTGAATTTCGGAGGGAGGATGAAAGAGATGTACCTTCCTTTTTACTTTCACTTACCTATACATGAAATATAAAGTAAGGGACAGTATTGCGATCATGAAAATTTTTGAATCTGGGTTTTCAACGGAAAAAAACATGTTTTGAGGTCTTCCGAGTCCAAATAACCAATTCCCACAAAATGGTCTGAGTGTGTGTGCGTGTGTCTGTTGTGTTTGTGACGAGTCAAGCTCAAAAACGAAAAGTCGTATGAAAGTGAAATTGCATATTTGAGGTTTTTATAAGTCTTGGATGTTACAGCAACCTTTTTACCAAAATCCGAAAACCGAAGTGGTGCTTTATACAATCGCTTCAACACATTTTTACGATTTTCTCAAAACGGCTCCAAGGATTTTGATTAAACCAACTATTATATCAGTGTATTATTAAGTAGTTTTAAATATAATGTAGGTCTTATTCTCATTGATGTTCTCTAACAGGGCTTAAATGGCTAATTTCCATTACTAGCTTGCTCGAAAGTACCTTTAATTGTTTTTATTTGAAATAATTAACCATTTCATATTAATCTTTGATTTAATAATAGTTAAATATACAATATGAAAGAATTTAACAATTAACTAAAGGAGAAATAAGATATAGTAACGGATAATAGTTGTAATGCAGGAACCAAAGGAGTACGAGCGCGCACGAGCTCACGTAACATGAGCTTAAAACAATATTATGTACGTATACATAAGGTTTTTTTCATAAATGCTATAGTTGGTATTTCTTAATTGTTTGGAATATAGCGAAATAAAATTTTTTATATGTTAAGATATTCAAACAAATAAAAATACACAGAATGAAATGTTAATAAATATAGCGTCAATAATTTTTACTTTCACTTCCCCTTTGTCTGATAACACTCGATTTTGCTAAGGAGAGAGTGGTAAATGAAAGTATTGTGATGCGCGCACCAGATTTTTTATTCTTTTAATATTTTTAAAAGAAATTATAAAAATTAACTAGGATTAGCGGCATAAAAAATCCATAAATAGGATAAATTCGTTCGATTGTATATTTACTTCAATAATAGTCAGGCTTAATTCCTCTTGCGAAAAATAAATAGAGGGAGGAATATTAGCAATTAACTGCATTTGTGTAAGTCAAGTAACTGAGGAGTAATGAATTTCACTCCAAGCTAACTTATTCTAAATGTGGGTTGGCATTGGAAACGTCCTCTATGTGATTCATCACTCAAGGAACTACAGTGAGATAGAAAACAGATTGGTTATATAACATAAGGAATAAATTCAATCGGCATGAATTTTAATAGCATGTATTCCAGTATCTATTATCAATATAAACTAAGGGCCAGTTCCTAAATTCAGTGCTGAAATTAATCCGATTAAATCGTGTGAAGCTCAGCTCAGCGCTGAGTTAAAGAACTTGCCCGATAACACCATTACTGCCAAATAAGTGACTACATATCTACAATTATATATTTAAATATTTATAATATATAAATATATATTTATATATTTAACAAAAAAAAATATTTAAATTGTTCATTCGATAATACGAAATTTAATAATTAAAAAAGTTTCAATTTTTCAAAAAAGAATTGAAAGTCGGCGTAAAAATGTTGGCAACTCTGTTTTAAGTAGAATTAGCAAGACAAGATTATTCATTCTTTTGAAGGTATGTAATCTGTTTATATTCGGACATAATTTGAAGTTCTTCTGTGTACTTTTATGTAGCAGAAATAACAATATAATTAAAATTTTTCATTATAATTAACTTGAAACTGAACTTAGGATGAATCCATAATAAAGGTTATAAACCTTGTAAAATTTCACCCATAAATTATGAACAAATGTTATGTTATTTGTAATCTGGATTCATCCGTATTATGTAATAACTGTTATTTTATACATCTTAAGGAATCAAAATAAGAGAAGTGCCGAATGCATCTGGGTTTATCCGAAAGACTGTTTTCGGCGGTTGATGAACAAGTGTGACCAAAGTGATTATGAACGTCTTCATCTAAATAATTACCATTTTTTTCGGAAAATTTTATTATTATTACAATATATAAATATTTTTATGTGAAATATAATACATACATAGAACTAAAATTTAAAAAAATAATTTTCTCTGATTTTTGTAAACTTTTTGTAATATATTATGTTTTAATTTCTTTCAAATTATTTTGGATAGGAGGAGGCCAGGGCTACTATGCCCATGATTGTTCCAGGATATTTTTTATTTATTTGGCAGACTTGGATGCTGGTGTGAATTTTGTAACTGAGGTCAAAGACCTCAAAACAGTTTTATCTTTATCTTTTCAATAAAACTAAATTATAAGAGGGGGAAAAAAAATAGTTATTTATAAGTAAATTTCAATGGAATGATTAAATTTAAATAAACATATAATAGTGCTTTATGCCTTTTCAAAATTGAAGAAAACTGTTGGTGTTAAGTAATACTTATTAATTTGAAGTTGAACCTTCGCCAAAGTTTGCTCAACAGAAAGATATAACAGTTCTAAAAGTAAACAATCTATTCCTGGTCTAAATCGAATGAAATTATTTAACCTTTCAAGTTTTGTTGTTTAAGAGATTTCCTGTCACTAAAACTTTACCTCTTAAGGTAGATATATAATTTTCATATAAAAAAACAAGAAATAAAATTCTATATAATAAAAATTAATAACTCCATTAGAAAGATAACTTGGTTACAGACAGTGAAATATTTATGTAAAACAAAATTGAACTTTTTGAAGATCAACTATAGTTTAAGAGCTATTTTAATCGGCATATTTGGAAATCATTCTTTTCCAGACAGCTATTAATTCATGATTGAGATAATTAATTTTTAAAAATAAATAATTCTTTTTTTATGTTAGTAATCATCCTAACAGTATGAGAAACATTTAATTTTATTTAAAATGCTTTTCAATTGATACAAAGTTATTCCTGTAACACTAATAATTTTAATGTAATTACTTGAACTCTTTAATTGTAAAGTTTATTAGTGTCCTGTATCATTGCAGCATAAGTTAACTATACTAGGGTCATCAGGTTCTGTCAGCTCCAAAACCTTCGTAGGTTACGTAGGACTTATAAATATAGACACTCTCATGAAAAAGAGAGCAGAAGTGGGTATGAACCTGGATTCAAAATTTCCAAATCTAAGTTTAAAGTCTATCAGTCGTTGTGGAATTTAAATTGTATAAGACTTTATTACAAGTTAATTTTTTACGATTCATATACCTTACAAAACACTTAATACCATCACTATCAATAACTAGATAAAAGAAATAAATTCAAGTTTGACAAAAGTCAGTTTGATAATCTCTGATAAAATATGAAAGTTTCTTGAACAGTATAATATTTTAACTTGAAATAATATACAGAGCGGATGAAGATGAAATTGGATATAATATAATTTTTATTTAAAGAACTGGAGAAACTGCACTTGTTATTTAAAATATTTGGAAAATTATCAAATTCTAAAATGTAAATTTATTTTCTCGTTCCAGTACAAGAAATGGAATAAGATTTATGGAAATGTTATGTAATCGGGCATTAAGAAAACACTTCATTATATCAAACCTGACCTTTGGACGCAATCACTAATTCCCTCAATTTAAAATTAAAATTAATCACAGCTACACTTACCCAATCCTTGTTGCTGTAGGAAAATGGTTTGCACTGGGTTCTCACTTTTTCTCCTAGCCTGGACTGCACGATGATCTGTGCAGACTTCAGGGCTAGAAATTTTGTGAACTTATCCAAGTCTTTGGCTTCATCTGCACTTGTTCTCTCTGACATCTTGCGAAGTAATCTGTCTAGTTCTGGATCACTATAAAAGCCCTGGTCTCTGCCCTAAAAAGATTAAAATATACTGTGATAAAATTACATTTTTTATTCAGTTAAGCCTAACGAAAATTCTCAGTAACTGAATGCAAACAAAAAATGAAGTGTATACGAAAGTTAAAACTTGTAATTCTCCATTATGAGTAAAAACAATGGTATATTTACAAAAGAGGATGAATAAAGAAAAGCTGGAAAGGAATGAATCTGTTCAAGAAAAATAACCAGGAGCTTGAATAGACTATGGATAAAATATTGATGCATTAGCATCTAGTTTCTTATATACGTGAACTAATTAAAAGTTTGGAACAGAAATTAAAAGTTTATTTAACTTTAAGGAATATAACTATAATTGATCAATGTACTATTTAAAATATACAAAATATGAATAGTAAAACAAGAAAAAAACACGGGGAATGTTACTTGTTAATTTTCAAACCTAGAGTAAATTTAAATAAAGAGTATATATTGTATTTCGGTGCAAAAATTTTAATAGATTGAAATAATAATGAATTTTCTATTTTTAGGGAAACTAATGATTTGTTGATAATCATTTCAGATATTGATGAAAAGACCTCTTTTTTAATATAATAAAGATCAAACGGAAGAAGAAATAAACTATTTCTTTATTATTTAAAGATAACGCCTATCAAAATACCTTTATGCTGAATGCACACATAAAACTTATGATAAATTAAATAAACGGTATCAGAAGCTACCTATTATCTGAATTGACACCTATGCTTAAAAAAAAACAATGGACAAATAACCTAACCACAAAATGGAAAAACAAAAAAGCTTATGTATCAATTGTCAGAATTTTTTTTTTTAAGGTGATCATAAAAGATTTACAAATAGACAGGTCTCACACCACAAAAGAATTTAAGACAATTAATGCAAATTATATGACTGTTGAATATGGATATATCGCAGGGAAGCAGATTTAATATAGTGTTTGATTCTTAAATTTTACTAACAAGATTCTTAACTGATACTAACAGCAAACTCGGCCTATAGAAAGATGGCAATAATTTTCTAGACAGTATTAAATATGAAAATTTCATATCGAATGTTGATTTTGTATTTCTTAAAAGTAATTTTTTAAATTTATTTTTATGAAAAGTAAAAAGCACTATCATTTCATACAAGAAATAACTCTCCTCTTAACTTAAATCTTTATGGTATGCATGGGAATCATTTAAGTGCCAACTAGAAGAATTGCGGATGAATAACAAGTTTTTAAAGGTTGCAGCTTATATATAGCAATAAAAATAATTAAAATTAAAGAAACAAAAGTTATTCTACAATTATTTTAAAAAAACAAACAATGTTATCAAGATTGAAATATGTAATTTTAATCATATTAACTCAGTAATTAACATCAATATAAATTCGCAAAAATTAATTCGTATTATACTCAAGTTAAAGATCAATAATTATTAAGCATCGATAATGAACTAAAATCATTAACAGTAATATAGTTTCAAATTAGTATTTAGTAATATAGTCCCAAATTAGTGTACCGATGACATAGAATTGTAACAATTGTCCTTAACTAAGATAAGATAATCATTATATTATAAAAGACATACGATAAAATAAATAAAACTTTAGAAATGAAAATCAAACCTCATGACTTTAAAAGTAATTATACAAAACTTTAAAAACAAGTGAAAATAACAGGTATTGAGCACCGTTTCGCAAAATTAAAAACAGAAATACTAATTTGGAATGTGAATTTCCAATGTTTTATTTTTAAAAATACCTATGGCAAATAACTGATGTCAACAGTGCCATATTGGGTAACTTATATTTTCACAACACTCTTACTCCCAAATAACTTGTCTTAAAACAACCATTAGATGAAAAATAAATCCACTAAGTAGTATTAAAATAATTTCAAGCTAATTTAATACAATTTAAAATACTAACGGTTCAAGTAAAAATAAGCATTCTCAATATGTATCTGATAAATAAGGACACGTCTTTGTTTTAATAATAGAAGCTAGTTGTTTTCTCTACAAAATTAATTGTTATGTACAAATAAATTTAAAGAATTTTTAAAAAACGTAGTAATACGTAGAAAACTTGATCGTAGCCAACATTTAAATATTGAATGTTTAATATTTAGTTAATTATATTGATACATGAGACTGAAAAAATTATATTTTTTCCTGCAATTTAATAGTTTACTGTGTTAAACATGTTATCATAGATTAATAATCCAATAAATGCACTTAGATCCTAAATTTAATGATCCAGGAAAGAAAAATAATCAAGATAGTATTCGATATTACAAGAATAAGCTGATTGAAATTACATGCAAGGTCATTGTGAAATTGATCAATTGTCTGATAATTGCATTTCTTGTTTTAGTTTCCTAAAAACCATATAATTTAATAGAATTAAAAATTTTAATTTTTCAATTATATTAAAAACTTTTTTAGTTGATATTTTTAGGTGCAAGGATTATATTTCTTTCTGATGTGATGATAATAGAATAAAAGGTTATTAACCCTGATGATAAATCAGAAAATTTGATAGAATCTTTTTAATGGATGTGGCTTTGTTTTGTACAAACATAAAATACTTTATAGTAAGAGGGCATACATAAAATAGATAAATAGATGAATTCTACAATAAGTTTTGGTTTTATAAATAACATTCAATAATAATTGGTAGAATTAATGTTGCCACTCTAGAGCTGACATGTGGTCAGGCAACTTCAAGATGAATCACACCTATTTTTTTTCTCCAGTATTCAGTTGCTACAGAGGTACCTAGGCCAAAGTTTCAAGGGGTTGTATAACAGAACGGAAAAATCTTGCGTTATCATTGCATTCCAATGAGTGAAGAATACTAGTATTGGCTAGGTCAGTGAAAGGACAGTTACAACACTTGATGATCAGAATGGAATGCGAAGGAAGTGATGACACTAATCACAGACTCAAACACATGTAATTGTAAAGAGCTCTTAGTCGCTGAACACCTTGCAGAATATAACTGTACAACCGCATAGTAGAAACGACCGAGGCTATGTCACCCGGTGGCGAATTACAGCACTGACAAGTCTTAAAAATACCTTAATAATATTAACACTGTGTCGAAGATCATAGGCACAGGTTACTCACCGAGAGAGCTGACGTGTTAGGAGTAAAACACAGTTTGAAAGAGCACAGTACACAAAATACTACACATCCAACGACTCACAGCCTGAGACTGGGCGTGTAAGAAGTGGAGGGGGTATAACGAATCCCCGAGGGCTACGTGTCCTCGCTCAGCTTATCTCCCGCCATATCGATCCCGCCGCGATACATCGATCCCACCGTACTATCGATGGTTGTAGTAGGCACGGTGATTCAGACCGTGGCACTGTTTGGAGTGAATGGAAACCGGTCATATATTTTTAGCTCTCCCTGACCGTGATTACTGCAGCCGGCGCCTGCCATTGCAACTGGATCACTTATATTACAAAACTATATATCATTTAATGATTTAGTCAACTTTGTTTTTTTAACTCAATAAATTATTTTTATAAATTCAGTCAAATTTACGAAATATATCGAACGAATTACAGGAGATTATCAATGTCAGAAATGATCAGAATAGAGGGGGGTATTCTAGAGGTAGAACCAAACCTACTCCGTGAATACACCACGAAATAAAAGTCTCCCCCGTCCAGGCCGGATTTGAACCGGCGTCGCTGGACAGGAGATTGCTAAAACCGGCAACACGCTCGGCCACCCAACCCCCTTACAGGATGAAGCTGTATAATATTTCGATTGAGCAGGAAAGATCAATAAATCTAGCAAGAATGAGTATTTATTTTATCTTCCACCCTCCCATTATGAGTATTACAGGTGTTAGCTGAAATGGAATGTTAAGGATGACTGCACATAAATCCACTTCAGCAAGTTTAACAAATTATGACATACGCATTATTTTTCCTATCTTATGTATGGTGACTTATCCTGACTTTCGGGAATCCGGTGTTCTTCCTGATGCTGATCCTCTTCTTCGGACTCCAGTGTTGAAGTGGGCTTGATCCACCACTGTCTTCTATCAATTAATAATTCGTTGAACCATGGAAAGTTCTCCTAACACACCAACCGTGGAAACCCCTCGTCTTCTGCACCTCCACTGTTTGTCGGCTGAAGCCCCGTCCAAAAAGGTAAAATATAACCATGTTTTACAGAAAAAAAAGTATGATAAACTATCTCTTAAAGTATTCTTGTTCGTTTAATTACATTTAATAGGACTTCAAGAACCACTTTAACACCATTTCATATAGGTAGTTAATTTTTTCTTTTTTTTTCAAATTAATTATCGTTATATTTATACAAAAAAAAAAAAAATTCGGACTGAAGCCTCCCCCCAAATTAAATCCTGGATCCGCTAGTGGTAGCAATGAGGCCGGCAGACAGTGGGGGGGGCAGAAGGGGTCAAAGGTAAGGAATGAAAGGCGCAAGGTGTGTGCATAGCTCATAATGAAATTGAAAACTGTTTATTTGCAGCAGTGGACTTTTACCCTTACATGATTAACATTTCACTTCTTCAAACTCCCATTTGTTTAATAGAATTCAACAAAACCTCAAGAGGTAGCTTGAATTGCTACAAGTAGAAACCTCATGTCCATTTTATTGCATAAATTATTCGCTTGCATGTAACATCTTTAAAAGTGATTTTATATCAATTTCACGAATTATGAAATGATGTATTAAAGATAAATAATGCCTTTTTTCTGTTTTTGGGCCACATGATTTTGATTGTTGTCGCACTTATTTTGTACTTTCAGAGCTAAATTTCAATTTTAATAGCATATAAATGGAAATAACTAATTTACTGAACTGTAACCGAACTTCTTAGCATGAACTTACCTTAATACTAAGGAGATTTTTGTCTTCTTCTAACAGCCTTCACGATCAAGCCAAAATAATACCAATAAATTTTCTACAGTAGCTATTATGGCTTGTTTAAAGTAATGTAATTGTGTACTCAATATATAAAAGAAAATTATCTAACCACTTTGGCAAGTCCAAGTATTGTTAGGATTGGCAAGAAGTTGGCAAAGAGAACGTGCGTAAAATAATATCGGTTCTCCTTTAAAACTAGAGAAACGTTTCTTATTCAGCAAGAATAGGAAGTAGTTGCTAGACCATCTTGTTGTCTCTGATGTACGCACACTTGCATTTAGCATAAAAAAAGTTCATTAAGGTTCATATTGACTAAGATAAGTTTTTCTCATTTATACCGCAATGTAAGAGGAAAGATGTCTCAAGTCCATATTAGTCCGTGGTACAGACCCCTTTTTATCAAATTATTAACATCCGCCTGAAACTTCGTAAATAGCTTCATCTCGTCGTAACTTACAAATATTTTATTATCGAAAATTCTCGGAATTGGGGCGTTTTCAATCTGGAGGTCGGCAAACTTTATCAATTTAATTAGGTACTAAAAACTCGAAAATACCCATTTGCTTTCCACTTTTATAGAAAGATAACTTGAGCACAAAGTGGAGAAAAAAGGTGGCTTTCATAAATATTGAGCCGTTTGGCCTAGATAACTTCGTTATTTTGACCATTTGGGGATGTAGGTAACGCCAAAATGCTCAATATTTGTCAAGGCCACCTTTTTACTCGACGTTGTGCCCAAGTTATCTTACAATTACAGTGGAAAACAAATGGGTGTTCACGAGTTTTTAGTACCTAATTAATTAGACAATAGTTTTTGATTATTATTTAGTTATCATATTACTTTTGTTAATTTTATATTTTCTGTATATATGGTGTGAATGTGTTCATATATCACTATAATCATCATGTATCACTATAATTGTTGTCCACGTGACAGATTATTATATTTCTAAATAAATAAATTTAAAAAAAATAATAATTAGACAAAGTTTGCCGACCTTCAGATTGAAAACACCCCCATTCCGAGAATTGTCTCGGACTATATCCTTTGAGAAACTGTTGTCAAAGTTTTACTATGCTTCCTTACACTACCTTTGTTTAAGTAATGAAGTATTCATTTTATCATACAATGATATCACGGGTGGATCCAGGTTTCAATTTTGGGGAGGAGGGCTTCAGTCCGAAAGCTTTTTTTTCATAAAAATAACGATTATTTTGGAAAAAAGAAATAAACTAACTACCTTCATGAAATGGTGTCTAAGTGATTCCTAAAGTCCTTTTAAATGTAATTACGCGAACAATAATACTTTAAGAGACAATTGTTAAATATTTTTTCCATAAAACGTGGTTATGTTTTACCATTTTGGGGGGAGGAGGGCTTCAGTCCCAAAACACCAGGAAAGTCAATTTTCAACAAACATTTTCATGGCATCTCCATGCTAGTAAAGGGACAAAACTACAGTCCTATCAAATAATTTTTTAATACCATATTAATCAATATACATTGAAAAAGTGGAGAAAAATATCTTCACATTTGTTGCCTATGTACGCGCAGCATTTTGGCCTAATGACCTAATGACTTGCCAATTGCTTCGAAATAATCTTTCTTGCTAATAAAATTGTCTTCACAATAATAAACCTCTATCGTCCCCTTAATATCATCGTCCCTTTTCCTTTTTTTTTTTCCCCGAGATTTTGGTAATTGTTTCTTCGTTCGCTTAATGGTTTTTTCCCAATTTTGGGATCCAATTTTTCCCTCATTTTTATACCAAATACAAACAAATAGTTTCTGTTCCAAGAAAAACCTACAGCTTCGCCCTTTCTATCGTTCTTTGTGCAGAGAGAATAAATCATTCAATATTAAAATGTTCTATTTTTTTATGATGTGGCCCAACCCCGGAATAAAATAAAAGAAATGGAAAAATGAATTTTTTTTTAGGTGATATATTAGTTTTATTAAACACCACGGCAACTATACATTACATGTAATTCAGATTAATTATATTTTAGTTTCTAAAACAGGACTCATTTCAGGGAAAGTATATACAATTTAACTTAATTTTAAGAATCAGTAAATATACAAAACAAACTGTTAAATTACAAACGTTAAATAAAAAATTCAAGATATTCAGCGAGGTATTTTTGAATTAAGTTGTGTGGTTATATCATTTTTACAATAGAAGCATTCTTAAACGATCCCCGTATAGAATAAAAAAATTATATAAAAAAATTATAATAAAAAATTGTTTAATTTTTTGGACAATTAAATTATTGTATTAATATTTGTTCTTTAGTGCAATCAATATAATATACCAAAAACGTTATTATATCCCTCTAACTGTGCCATTTATGAGTACTGAATGGTGTGAGGCCTGTAGGCACCTACGCCAGTACCACTTTTCCGCCGATCAAGTGCATTTCCTGCAAAACCATTTCAAATATTTTAAAGTTTTCAGTGTTTTAGAAAGATAAATATGTTCACCAGATGTTTTATTTCAGGACCTTTTTCCTTATTGTTGGCTGTTTAATTACAAACGTCGCTTGATTTTTCAAATTGAAAATTTTTAATTCACTGGTGTTTTGTATTGTCTAAGCCAATTATTTTTTAATATTGTTTCATGTTTTATTATTCTCTGACTATTCAGCTGTAATAAAATTCCAATTAAGACGAAATTAATCCAAATGCTGATTTTCAATGAGCAAAAAACTAACTCAAGTCAAAGTCGCCAGTCCGGAAGCTTTGGACGCCATTTTGGGACGGTGCGTTCCCCTTTTTTTAAGGGAACATTGGTTTTTTTTTTAATAAATAGTTACAAGGAATACATCGATATGCAATTTATATGAATGTGAAGGGGAGAGGGAGGTGCACGGTATGGGGGTCTAGCCCATAGACTAATATTCTTACACATGTGACCTACAGACGGTATTGCACCAGAAGGCATTCGATCATGGCGGAACCAGCCGTTAATTTCATGGTACACCGAGCAGCTTTGTACAACGTGGACAATTTATCATATTTATTTAAATTTTTCTCAGTGGCGAACGGAACACATTGAGATATGCCGACCATTTAATTTTTAAAAATGAGGTAAATCTGATAAATAAACGAATTTAAATTAAATTATCAAAGTATAACATACTTATTTACGTATCTTTATTTTTACTCTCAGAGAAAGTTGACAAATTTGTGATACGTCAATTTGCTTCTACAGAGACGATTCATTTTATTTTAGTTTGATTTTTTTCGCCGGTATTCTTTAACCAGTACATTTTTTTGTTTTCCCTGAAGTTATAAAAAAAGAAAGAACAAAACACTTTAGTTTGTCTTTGTCGAAAAATTATTAATCAGGA